ACTGGTCTCTATACATATGCACTGGCACACAGATGATAGGGAGTACACTTGAACAACACACATATACATACACAAGGATCCTAAGGGTATTATATTACAATTATGAAGTTAGTATTTTTAATAATGTGTGTCCTTTTACTACCAGGACTGTTCAACCTCTGAAGGAATAAAAACCATACTTCTTCCATAACTTAATATAAAGCTTGAGATACAATACATTTGCTAACAGTTTTTATTTCTTCAGAGGTTCATCAGTTCTGTGATCAGAAATGATAGTACATTATAGGTCATATATAATCTTCAATATTCAGGATGCAAGGAAAAGTATTATTTTTTAGTCAAGTAGTAAGGAAGCCAAATAACACCTACCACCTCTATAACAAATTTAACACTTTAAAAATAAATTTAACACAAAGTTTTAGTTATATACAACACTATATAATTCCAAAATCTGAGCTACATAAAGACAATTCCCCTACCTATCTAGTTATATATACATCTAGATCAGAGGTTCTCAACCCATGGGTCATCACCCCTTAGGAGTCAGAGAACCCTTTTACGGGGGCTAAATAGCAGATATCCTGAATATCAGATATTTAAATGATGATTCATAACAGTACCCAAATGAGTCATGAAGTAGCAAGCCAATAATTTTATGACTGAGGTTCCACATATGAGGATCTATATTAAAGGGTTGTAGCACTGCTGTTACTGACATTATGGGTCTGTACTGTACCATCACACTTACGTAAAACAAAGAGCCATGGACTGTACATACATACTTACTCTAGTACTTTTCTGGGGTAACGGTCACTAAGCTGACCCTTTGTTGGACGTAAATATCAGTATGATTTGCCTGATTTTCATTGTTGCATTTAATTCTGTTGAAGGATAAGTTCTGTCAACTGCAACTAAAACTACAGGATGCACAGTTTTAAAACTTCACTGCCTGTCTTGAGGAAGACATCATGCTGTCTGAAAGATGGATTTTATAGTTTCAATGACTGCAGATAAAATTGATGACATTCATTTTGATTTGTTATCTCAGAAGAAACACAGAAACATATTATCCCCATAATAACAGATGGTTCATTACAAGCCATGAATTTTTTACTAAGGTTCAACTACACAATTCTGATAGAAATATGAGGCACAAGCACACATACTAAATAATTACATTTCCCCTTGGCATTCCTTTTCATTCATGATCTAATAATATGATCAGAAGAAAGCATGATTATACTATCTATATATACAGTCATCAGTGTTTTAAAATAACATTTTAATTTTGCATTGCCATTTTTAATTGCTTCTGATGATGTATTTTCTGTTCACTTTATTTTAAATGTCCTATGATAAAAATTAACATGTCAAATATAAGCTTTTAAAATTTTATCTTCTACCAAGTAGGATGGCTAAGCTCGGCAGGTCAGTGTCAGGCACAAAGATCTGATCATGAGCGAGAGGGTCGTAGTCTCATTAGGACACGATACTCAGGCAGGGACGGAGAGAGGCCATAACCACCAATGCGAAGGGACTAGGAAATTCACATTGAAATCAAACTCTATCTGTTTCAACTTAATGTTTCATTGGGGTTTAAAACAATAAATGCTATAAGAACTTTTCATAAATCAGTCCTTTAAGTTACACTTTTGGTCTGGTCAAGTTCATAATTATCTCCAGATTCAACAGTCTTCATTGTGGTTTAGAGTAAGCTATCGTACTGTACATTAGTAAAATATGAAAATGAAATTTTCACGCATTCAGCCCACTCAAGAGCTAACGCTCAGTTAATTGCTCTATATTACAGTTTTTGTAATTGCAAAAAATGTAAAACTTGTAAAAACGCAAGTTTTGAATATATTTTGCATCATCAAGTCAATGAGGATATCTCTGTATTTCTAACATGAGCACATTTTCTAGGATGCGGTATGTAAACAATATTTTCTATTTTATCAATAATATACATTGCTTCATGTTTGTAACATGTCTGAAGTATGGGTTCCCATTTAAAACAAAAAAGATATTTTTGTACTATTCTTTGAACTTAACAATACTTAATATAGTGACCTTAATAAATCAGTGCTTTTGAATAGGTGAAATAAAAAAGTGTTCAATTTACTTGAAGTGCATTACACTAGAGCTAAAGTGTGCTCTCAGTTTTATATTGTAGTGTGAAAAAAACTAATGGTTTCTGATATATGTTCTTACAATTTGTTTAGAGTTGCATTATCATACAATTTATGGATCATACTTTACTAATTTTCTTTGAAGACTACAAAAATGGAACGATAAAAACTGATAGTTTTTAATTTCATCAAATATTCTTTTTTGGATGATGGGGATAAAAGGATATAACATAAGGTCTACCAATTAGAATTTTAGTGTACTGTCAAATGTAATATACAAGCCCAATACAGCACACTATGTCCCCACAACCTTTTTTTACCTTCCATGATTGAAAATTTACAGTCAGTGAACAGCAAATGCCCATTTCCTGCTTACTTTACCCCCGGCCAGCAACAGCCCCTTTCCTTCCCACTCCTATGCATGACTATTTATGTCTAGCTACAGGAAGTGGTACACAGCATCGGTCTCTTTCTGACATACTTCAGTTAATATACATACTGGGCTTAAGGTTTTGTTCACATTGCTGGGAAAAAGGGGATTTCCTTCTTCATAAACTCTAAAATACTCTACTGCAAGGACATGTGGATTTCTTCATCTACTCATCGCTTACTGGGTATTTTGGCTGATTCTATAACCTTTCTATTGTGAGTAACACTGCAGCAAACAGGGAACATACAAGTATTTCTTTGTGATACTGATTTCCATTTATCTAGATAAAAATCTACAAGTGATTTTTGGATCACCATGCAATTTCACTTTTGAGAAAATTTATTCTCAGGAGAACTGCACAATAGGACAACAGAGTCCACTTTCTTCATAGCCACATCGGCATTTGTTTTGGCATTTTGGTAATAATGGTGTCCTTAAGAGGTGGAAGGTGGCAGCTGTGGATGGTTGCTTACGCCTATCACCACATGTTCTCATGTTCTCACTCTTTGAAGAACTGTCTATCCAAGTCCTTGACATACATTTTAAGTGTCTTTTTATTTTATTTCTTCTTGTTGAGATATAAAAGTTCCCTAAATATCTGAGATAAACAACTTGAGATAAATAAAGAGTCTCTCCCATTCTATAGATTGTCTTTCGTTGTACTGAGAAGCTTCTGTAAGGCAACGGACACAACACAGTCAAAGTCAACAAGACAAAAAAGGCATCCACAGAATGGGAAAAGACATTCACCAACCCCACATCTGACAGAGGGCTGACTTCCAAACTTTACAAAGAACTCTAGAAGCTAGTATCCAAAACACCAAATGATGCAATTAAAATGGGGGCTACAGAACTAAATAAAGAATTCTTAACAGAGGAGTCTAAAATGGCTGAGAGACACTTAAGAAAGTGTTCAACATCCTTAGCCATCAGGGAAATGCAAATCAAAACAACTCTGAGATACCACCTTACTCCTGTTTGAATGGAGAAAATCAAAAACACCAATGGCAGCTTATGCTGGAGAGGATGTGGAGAAAGGGAAACACTCCTCCAATGCTGGTGGAGTGGCCGACTAGTACAGCCACTATGGAAATCAGTATGGAGATTCCTCAGGAAAATGGGAATCAGTCTACCACAAGACCCAGCAACTCCACTCTTAGGCATATATCCAAAAGATGCCCATTCATACAAGGATGTCTGTTCCACTATGTTCACAGCAGCATTATTTGTAATAGCCAGAACCTGGAAGCAACCTAGATGCTCCTTAACTGAAGAGTAGATACAAAAAATGTCGTACATTTATACTATGGACTACTACTCAGCGGAAAGAAACAATGGAATCTTGAAATTTGTAGGCAAATGGACAGCACTAGAAGAAACCATCCTGGGTGAGGTAACTGAGTCACAAGAAGACAAACATGGTAAGTACTCACTCATATATGGATTTTAGACATGGATCAGGGGACTGTCAGCCTACAATCCCACTGCCAGAGAGTCTGGGAAACAGGGAGGACCCTAAGAGAGATATGTATGGTACCCAAGAGAAGGGGAATGGGGCAAGATCTCCTGAGTGGATTGGGAGCCTGGGGGGAAGGGAGAGGGATCTGGGAAAAAGAGAGGGGGAGAAGAGGGAGGGGAGAGGAGGACAGAGGAGGATATTGGGCAGCAGGAATGTTGAGTCAGGGGAAGAACAGAAGAGACCAGGATGAGAGATACCTTAATAGAGGGAGTCATTAAGGTTTGAGGAGAGATCTGGCACTAGTGAGATTTCTAGAGATCTACAAGGATGGCACCACCTGGCAAACTAAGCAATAGTGCTGCGTTAAATGTCCATCCCTGAAAATGAGATTGATGACTACCTTATATGACATCCTAGAGCCTTCATCCACTGGCTGATGGAAGCAGAGGCAGACACGACACCCACATCCAAACACTGAACTAATCTCCTGGAACCCAGTGGCAGAGAGGGAGAAGTGATGAGCAAAGGGGTCAAGACTAAGCTTACAAGTATTTAACTTCACTTATTTAAAAATTCTCTACTTTCCTTCTCCTCCCCGAACACTTTTATCAGATCATACTTGGCACATTCTATACTATGTATCCATCAACATGCTATGGCTAGCTTCTCTCTTTTGTTTGTCTTACTTGAGGGTGACTGATGGGCTGTTATGTAGTGTGATGTTCAGTATCTGCTAACATGTTCATCTTCATCAACAAATTCTATATTTTCATATCATTTAGTACCCTTTAAAACTGTATTTATGTTGTAAATAAGACCCTGGAATCTAAAGACCACATTCACTTCACAAATTAAATAGCCAAATATTACTCATCAGTATTATTTAACAATTAAAAATCAGGATTGCACTTGTTCTGAGTTGTGTCCCTGAGATCAATAATGCAGTTCTTGGTCATAAAACACCATATACATTGATACCTACCAGTTCCTTTGCTGAGGTATGGAGGCTTAAAGAATTTCACAACAGCATAGACATTGACAATTGCACCTTCTTTAAGTAGATTCAGGGGTGTATATGTATAGGGAGTTACTGGAACCTAAAGAAAGGACAGCAATTATATCACTAAGTATCTACATTTTAAAATATTATGGTGATATATGCAAATTAACAAGTATATATAATTTCATTTTAAAAGATTTTTCCTAAAGGGAAGGACTTAAAAATGCAAAGGGAAAAGTTGAAAACAAGAAAGACAAACACTACGTCCAAAGGTTACTATAGAAACCAACTAGTTTTCTTGAAATAATTTGGTTCACAGTAGAGAAATTAACATATCAGCCTACAAAAGTATAACCAGCTTAAATTTAAATTATACTTCTTCAACAAGAAAAGCATACAAATCCATTAAAACATCAAAAGTTGGTGTATAAAGTGAAGCAATACAGAAAAGACTTTTAAGGGTTGATGAAGAAATCAGTTGAATAAGGCAATTCATAACAATAACAAGGGAAAAAAGTATCATGTAAGACTGTAGCTCATACTAACAGCATCACTAAATTAACACGTAAAATTTCAGTAGTCCATTTACTCCTTCCCATTGAGAGATAAATTTAACATGCCACTCTGAAACTGACTATTTAAAATCTCAAACAGAGATGAATTCTTTTTTCTTCTTCTTAAGAAAGCTGATTCTTTGGCACAGACAAAGAAGGGCTTTGCAATTTAGTCAGTCTTTAATATACAAGAAGAGTGTAGCTCATTAATATGATAGAATAATGCTCAGCAAGAGGAATACAAAAGAGAAGGTTTGGACTGTCAAAGCATCAAAATAACTGGACTCGGTATCCTGCCTTAATGAGTATGCCCCTGATACTGACAAAAAGGGAAAGCCAGCAGAGCTTTGGGAGACTAAACAGTATCTGCATACTGCTTACTGATTCAAAGCAGAAAATGAGAAAAAAAAAACTTTGTAACTATTAATTTGCCTTTCCATGAAGATTACTTTATATGGCTGTTATTCTTTTCAATATAAGTAAGTTAACTGATTTTTCTTCATGATCATTCTCTTACAAGTCAGATTAATGTATCCTTAAATGGCAATTATCTGTGAACATCATAAATACATTTATATCATACTTCCAAATAAGTCCAAACTGAGTAGCAATTGATTTCCCTTGCTGACAGTAAAGCATGATTTCCTAAAACAAGACTTCAGGGGCCAGGAGGTATCCAAATCACTTTGAAGTTGAGACAAATGTTGTTAGGGGAGAGTTAATAGGGTTAGGTAAGGGGAGTGATAAACAGATGTGCATCACAGATAAGTAGTAACATGTGTCATAAACAAAATCCACAAAGTCAACAGCACTTACAAGCACTTGGATATAACATTATAGCAGGGATCCAAAAACAGTCTGACAAGTTGATGCAAAAGTGTCTAACATCTATGCCAATAGGACTACAAGTATCTAAAGCATCCTACCATGCCCTAAACTAGAAACATGACCTCGTTATGACAGGGCCTCCTGTGGCACTTTGTTGCTCAAGGAATATTCCTAAAAGGACTAGGATACTCCTATGCAATAGGACCTTGTGTGATAAGGGGACCGCTGTAGCCAACACACTGGCAAATTCAAGATTATATATAACCAGTGTGGCTATGAAATGAGTTTTTCTGTTTTGACCTGAGACAGAGTCTCTTTGTGAGATCCAACGTGTAACCCTCCTGCTTCATTGAGTTCTGTCATGCTGGGACTACAGCATGTGCCAACACTATAAATTTTTTATTTTTATTTTGATGGCCTCTCATGTCCAGCTGCCACAGTACTAGGCAACACAGATCTAGGAAGTCACTTACTCTGAGATACTAAAACATATTCACTAAAAAGCTAAAGAATATAACACACTAAAGATAATTTGATGATATCTTCAAAAATGCTTCAACATACAGATTCCCTAGCTATGTTTCACAAAGACATAAAAGGCCTCTATTATGTTTTGATAGCTTAAGACAAAGCTTATCACACAATAGGGCAAGAGAATGTGAGTACTAGGGACTGAAGATGTACCTCAGAGACAATGCTGACTGTCACTAAAGGTTCAGGTTTAATTCTTAGAACCAACCAAAAAGCACAACAACTTCTCACCAAACAAACAAACAAAAAATCCCTAAAACAAGGGTTAAAGGAAATCTAATTTACAGCAGTGGATAAAAATCAAGACAACTGTGCTTGAAGGAATGAAAATGTATCTAGTAGGGCTGGAGAGATGGTTCTGTAGGGGAAACACTGGCCATACATATGTGAGGATGGGAACACCCAGGTAAACACTAGATGGATTTGGCAGTCCACCTATAATGACACACGCTGGAGCCAGAGGCAGAGAACCCAGGAGCAAAATGGCTAACTAGACTGGAGTTAACAAACTCTGGATTTCAGTGGGATATCCTGCTTCAGAATATATGGAAGATAATGATAGATGAAGACATCCAACCATCAACTACTGGCATATGCATATATACACAGTGGTTAAAGGCAGCTTACTCTTCTTGCAGAGGACTGAGGTTTGGTTTCTAGCACCCAGGGTGGCTCACAAATATCTATAACTCTAGTACCAGGAGACCCAATGCCTTCTGGCATTTGAGAGCACCTGCATTAAACTGGTGTACACATAAACTCAACATACGGAAACAGAAATGAATAATAAATATAGATAGAATATACACATTATATTAAACTTTATTAATGTATTGCTTTCTTTCCAGTTTCATTCAGTTGTATGTATCCAAACTATAAAAATGGAACTTTTCTTTAGATACTAAAATTTTATAAAACAAAAGGTTAAAAATGTATAAATATAAAAATCTTTTGTATTTGCAAAATTAGTTAAATCATAATTCAGCACACAAGAATCTGCTTTAATACAGGCTGACAAAAGAACAAAAGAAATAAATATGCCTATTGTTTAAACTAATAACAATTGCATGTCTTCATGAAAAAAGAGCTGGTTTCCTACCAGTTTTCTTAGTTGTGCACAACTTATACAGAGATATTAGTAGACAATATAGGCAAAAACTGATCAAATATTGTTAGTTAAATACAAAACTATAATGTAATATCACATAAAAAAGTGAAGATACTGGTTTTGCATTGGAATGGTACTAATGTCAAATCTGACTATAAAGTAGAGTAGTTTAAATCAAATTATAAAGTAGATCAAAATATGAAGCAGATGCATAAATGTCTGTGCATTGTTGTATATTAGATATCGCTTACCAAAGACATTGTTTCTGTGGAAAATCCTCTCAGACATTTACCAAAAACCTGAAAAAAATGAAACAGAAACTTGTTTGTATATATGTTACCTCCAATGTGACCACAGGTTTCTGAATACAGCTAACCATACATTTAACAATACTCCGATTCCCTACAGTGGTATAAAGTTTGGTTTCCATGACCCATGACAGGCACTGACAACCACCCATACCTCCAGTTTCAGGGGACCCACCACACTGCTCTGACCTCCAGAGGCTCCTGCATTCACATGCACCCACCACTACTCATGCATAAGTTTCCATAATTAATTTTTTTAAATGTTAAAGATATAAGATTAGATGAAAATGTAGTAAATAAAATCAACCCTCTCAAATCTCCTGAAAGTGGCTTCATTAGCCAATATTACACTCATCACAGAGGAGGAGACCGACAATCCACTAAATGACACTACACTAAAAGTGCAGGGCAACATTTGTGCTAACTATCCTGACGAATAGATGACACTGTGCTACGGGCAGTTTCAGTGGGGCAGTAAGTAAGAAACGGGGAGAAGAGGCTTCTCACGCCTCAAACTCGGCGATTTATGCGTGACACTTTTATGGCTCATAAGCACTGTTCATCATTTTTATTTCCTCGTAATCCATCTATTGTCACTTTGTTTTGGCAAATTCAATGGCAATGTTTCAGCCTCCACAGAAAACAACTAAACAAATCCAGACTAAACAGTGTACCCCCGGACTTACAGAAATATTATTCTATGCAATTACTTTGTGCCATTAAAACTACAACATGACTAGACAACACCAAGTAACCACAGCTCTTTATAGTTAAGAACATGGGAAGTTTCCTTCTCACTGAAGCTGCTATTTCTCTCCAGCATATACTTGGCACTTAAGGAACAAAATAAACACTCTCAAATAAGTAATTTTCACAAAAAAAAACTTTGCTTTCAACTGACCTCAGAGCAATACATGATAATGTGACGAAACTAGGACTTCAATCTAACTGAAATGAAAGTAAGATTTTAGGCAAAGATTTACAATTACATCTAACAGATGTGTCAGTTCTAAATTCTAATATAAACAGACACATACACACCCTGTATACATTTACACACACATACACAGAAATCCCCAGTAATTCACGTTTACGACTACACTGAAAACATTTTCAAATAAAACATTATATACAGAGAAATACAAAACTAACAAAATTCATAGGGAACACATAATACCAAAGTACATCTGGTTTTGACCATATGTTTACGTAACCTAGAAAAAGGCAGGGAAAGTCGACATTCAGCATTTTAGAAAATTCAGAATATAGGAAGGAGATGTTGTTATAGGCCTTTTTGTTGACTCAAGAAACTGGAAACCATGTTCTTCACCCACCACAGCACACAGACACCAGGATGATTTCCCATCCTCTGCCAGTGCCACTGATGCTAGCTTTAATTTCTATCATGTAGCATAGACAGTCCTTCAATTACTACAAAACCTCCACACCAAGTTTCCTACTTGAGATGCCACTCTGGTAAAAGAAAACAAATTGACTGAATTTATGAAATAACCACAGGGATGATCTCACTTGAAATGTGATCATACACATACAATATAAATTACTTATATTGTAATAATGGAATTGTACCTATGTATATATTCAAAAAATTAGGAAGAGCCATATACTAATGTAGATATTAGTTTCAATACTATTGTTAAATATAGATGAGATGCCAGGTGGTGGTGGCGCATGCCTTTAATCCCAGCACTTGGGAGGCAGAGGCAGGCGGATCTCTGGGAGTTCGAGGCCGGGCTGGACCGACAGCCTCCAAGATAATACAGAGAAACCCTGTCTCATAAAAACCAAAAAAAAAAAAAAAAAAAAAAAAAAAGAGCTGGACAGAGAGTGAAGCTTGCTGCTCTTACAGAGGACCCCACTTAAGTTCCCAATACCCACATCACGACCACCTACAATTCCAGTTCTCAGGGGATCCAAAGTCCTCTACTGGCCTCTTCACCTTCTAGTACCATTAGGCAGGTAGTGCTAATGCAGCCACAGATATAATTAAGTAAATCTTTAAAAAAAATTATTGAGGTGAATATTTAGAGAGCCAATAGGTCTTGCGGCATAGACATATTCACATGCATGTATAGTGTTTGGAGACGATTCTGCATCCTGAAATATTGTTTAAATTACATATTTCATAAATTTGCTTCAAAACAGTACCTATCACTCAAATGATTTGAATACTCAAAAGATGAAATGAAGTGACTGTTGACCTTGATTATCAGATAGATTGGGTCTGCAGTTCACTAAGTAACATGACTCTTGGGAGGTCTTTGAGGACATTTCCAGGAAGGAGTAGGGAGAAGCTCTTCTACCAGAGTGGATGACTCAGAATGAAATCCAAGACATCTAAGGAGAAAGCAGGGCAGATTGTCTGCCCACCTTTCGTTCCTGCTGGTGAGAGCAGCAATCCACTGCTGTTCCTGCTATCCTTCACTGACCTCAGGTCCAACTCTTGAGTGTTCCTAAGGCTCTCCAGAAATACTGTAGGCTTTCAGCACAGGATTGAAATCGCTGAGACATCAGACTGAGTGCTGTACAGGGTTCTCAGCCTTTTCAGCATTCAGATGGCCATTTTAAAGATTACCCAGCCTCCACAGTCTAAACAAATAATATATAGTATTTCTATTAGTTCTCTTTCTCTAGAAAACTCTAATATACTGTTGCAGTTAAATCACAAATACATATATTTGCTAAATAACTCTCACTAGTTCTGTGTCTAAAACTTTGTATAATAAAGGCTGGCAAAGTGGTTCTATCAGTTAAAGAAGTTGATGACAAGCATAACAAACTGAATTTGATTGCAGGAACGACATGGTGGAAGGAGAGGACCAACTAGACATGTTGTCCTTTGACCTCTATGCTCCTGAACAGCTAGTTAGCTATATTTTATAGAAGAAAATACTCTTCTAAACTTTCTGAATTCTACTATCATGAAAAGTGCTGGGAATTGTCAAACACATTTTCTGCATCAACTGATATAACCACTTAATATGCTCCCCCTTCATTAAATTAAGGTAATATATTGCAATGATTCAAATATTCATTTCACATTTTTTACATCTCTGATTGGGATTAATCCTACTCAGTCTAATCCTATCCATAGGCTGGAGGTTTACCTTGACTACTACTTGGTTAAGGTTTTTGCAGGCATGTATTTTTAAAATCACTAAGGATAGTATGCTGAATATATAATGAGCATTCCTTTTAGGAGGAAAATGTATTCCAAGTTAATAACCTTCTTAGCTGCATAAACACATTGCTACGATCACAATCTGGTGGTAGAGCTCTGAAACCTACTTTGTGTAATTTATTCCGTGGCTAAACTTCATTCTGGTACACCTTTGACTTCCTTTATTAATTCAAGTGTCATAACAGTTCTGTTTCACAATGATGTCCAAGGCAAATTCAACTAGGGAAGCTGACAATTTACTGTTGACACAAAAAGCACCGTTTTATTGAAAGCAAAGCTGATAATTTGCTATGAGTTACTCTTAATTATTTTTCTTTAATAAGCTTGTTTTTAAACAGAAACAGTTGACCTAACAAGGGGAGCTCTTGGACCCCAGATTGATGGCTGTGTGGAAAGCATGAGTCTGACCCAGACCCCCTGAATGTGGGTGTCAGTGAGGAGGCGTAGGTAATCTATGGGGCCTTGGGTAGTATTTATCCCTGGCATACAAATAGACTTTGAGTGCCCATGCCACAATACGGGAGGCTCTCTCAGCTTGGACTCTTGGGGTAGGGCCTAGGCCCTGCCCTGGATGAAATGACAGTCACTGGAGATCAGAGTGGAGACTGGGTGGGGGACTAGGGAACCTGGTGGAGAGGGTGGGGGAGGAGGGAAGGGAGAGGGAGCTGGGATTGACATGTGGAACAATCTTGTTTGTAACTTAAATAATAATTTTTTAAAAAGCTTGTTTTTTGGTGTTTGGATGAAGGTATTAAGATAACATATCTTGTAACTATTGCAATTACCAACCCATAGCATGCTTGTAAGCTGAAACGTAATTACTTTCCACTCAGATTTTGTATTTAAGTATTTCTAAAAGCTAGTTTTAAGATTCCTTAATTTCAATGTTTCATCATATTGCTTTGCAATTAAAATATTGTGAATGCACACTGCACCAAAAGCAAGGGATACTGGCTGCCTCCTCCCTGGAACTCGTAAACATCCTAAGAGAAATGAGAACTGATGTTCATCTGTGCAGTCTACCTTGAATCTTTCTTCTCAGACTTTTTGGGCCTCTCAGTAGCATCACTACTTAACTCCGATGTGTACGGACCCACCATTCCCCAACCACCGAGAAGCCTGAGTGCGGGGGCACGGCTCTATTCACGTCTCCTCCCGACCGTGTTCAGTTCGCACTAACAGCACGTAATGGAGTTTCTGCAAAAGTGCACCAAAGGTTGAACTAAACTAAACAGCCCCCGTCATGTCCATCCAGGGCCGGCCCCGCCTGGTACCCACCGCGAACTCCCAACCTTCTCAAGCTCACTCACCAGCAAGTCTCCGCGGGAAACTAGAAACTCTCAGGACCGACGCTCGCGTGACGTCATGCGCGCGTCCGCAGCTGGGTCCACGCATGCGTATCCTCAAGGATGCCTCCGCGGCTTGCCGAGCCCTCCGTGTGTAAACGCGGCGAGGAGGAGGAGCGCGGCCCAGGAGCGGCCCGTCAATCACAGCCACCCAGGCTTCTCGCCACGCCCCTTTCCACGCCTCTTGCCGATTTCCTGGTCCCTCGAAGGAGTCAACTCCAGCCACTAGGGGGAGCGGGACCGGCTTGTAAGAGTCATTAATACTGGACTGGAGAGATGGCTCAACCATTAAAGGCTAGGCACCCAACCCCAAATGAGATTCCTGAATGCTGTTAGGCGGTAGGAACCCTATTCCAAACCAGTCAGGGTTCCGGATTCCCTTCTGATCACTAGAACCCCTCCAGGCGAAAGCATTTATTCATCTTCTATGTTAAGCATTCAAATGCAACTTCTGCAAGGATGTAAGCCCGGGAGAAAAACAATGTTGTTTGTTTTACAGAAGCTTGACGATGCTTATGTTGTTTTCAGGTAAGTTGAGGAACCTCATCACTATTTTATAAATCTTCCTTTTACCTCCCCACCCCAGGGTTCATAAAACAAAGGTGAATGAGGAGCAATAACTATAGTGAAATTGAACTGGCCATTAGAGGAACACAGTGAGTTAAGCTCAGGCCCATGCTATCATTCTCCTCACCATTTGTGAAACACTTTTATCTTCATTTGTTCTTTAAGTTTAGCTCACTGTAGGGGTTTTGGAACCTGGGCACTTTGGTCCTACGGCAGGAAACCAGAAGAAATGCTGCTAACTCCACAGCTGAGGGCCAGGACATAGTCTATTTGGCAGTAAGCAAGTGGGGAGTTAACAACCAGCAAACAAAATGGTAACATACTGGCCTAGAGGACAGTTCTTGCTATGGCTTCATTATAACTGGTTAACAGTCCGCAAGAGTGGGAGGAGCTGTGACTCAAGCATATTTCGAAGCTTGTGTTAAGTGGCTTGTGCAGATTCAAAATCCCCCTTTCCCAGAAAATGCAAACCCTTCTCCTTAAGTGAAGTACTGCTCATTTTTGTTTACCAATTCCCCATCTGTGAAATGGAGGCTGTTGTCCTTCTTTTCCTTAGGAAGCTTTGTGTTTGCTTCAGAATTAATTCCTCATCTGATTTGTATCCACCATCAGACAAATACCTTTACTCAGCTAGTGACGTTCTCACTTCCACCACAGTAAAATGACATATATTCTCACAGCATATATTCATGCTTTCCCACGTTCCCTCAGTATTTAAATGCATGCTCTACAGTCGAGGTTTACTAAGAGCAGGGAGGACTGTTTTGTTTTAGAACCCAGACTACTATACAATGGCTGGTATTTATTAGATGAGCAATATGTTTCTTTCCTTAACTTTAACATCCTTCCCAACCCTCAGAGGATTACATGGAAACTTCTCTTGACAAAAGGAGGGAAGACTCCTCATTGCTAAAACAAAAGGACATGTTTTGTCTTAAAAAGTTTGTTAATGAGTCTGACAGCACCATGTTTTCCTTTTCAAAACTGCTAAACTCATCCTGTTTGCCAAGGATTAGCTTAAGTTATGTGTATTTAGATTCTTTTTAAAATTTTTTCTTTGAGAAATAATTAAAATGAGATTCCTACTGATTAATAATCAGAATTGGAATGGGAATTTTTATTTGATCAGCTAACACCTGGTTATAAGGAATCAATGTAGTTATTATATTGTCTCAGGACTGAACAGTTAATATGAGAAAACTGATTAGGAGGTATCATTCCTGGGGAAGATAATTTCTCTCTTCTCTGCAGTCATTAGTTACCTGTATTATTTGTGTGGGTCAGGGCCCTTGAAATTCTGCCTCTTTACTGGTGTTGTCAGTGTTCTTGTCCTGTTTAGGCAGCAATACTATTGATGCATTATGGGTGTAGCTTCCAAGACAATATCTAGGAGAAACAATCTCACAGTCAACTTCCTGGTCCTTTGGCCCTTAATAATCATTCCACCCTCTCCTCAAATTTTGTCTGAAACTTAGATGTGGGGCTTGTGCTAAAGATGTATCCACTGGAGCTAAGCAGTCCATGACCAGTTGCGTTCTGAATTTTGATCATATGTGGCTTAAAAGCAATTTCAGTTTGCCACTGCCTAGGTCTAGTTTTCTTTTTACCCCTTACCAAGTCAATCATTTAACTTTTTTCTTTTTATTTCTTTAGCATACACATATCCATGTACTATGGGATCTAATGAAGATGTCTACAAGAAGTATACATTATGTCAATGTATACTTGTCATAATGGTTATTCTCAATGTCTCTAGGATGTCAGTATTTCCCACAAACCAGGTAACTTGTAATACTATTTCATTTCATGATCTTTCATTTTATAGCAGAGTTTGGAGTGTATCTGACTCCAAAGCCTGTACTGTATTGCCTCACATCAACAATTAGTTTGCAAAAGTAGAGAAAATAGAACATGAATATGTGAAACATTTTAAAATAATAAGATAAAAGGACAGATTAAATTAACTAGGAAATGCTTTAATTATATATTAACACCAAAACAATTAATTTCTGGGTTCGAATGCCAATTGAAGTACCTTAAAACAGGTATTGTGATTTTAATAATTGATGTATTAACGTTTATGTTAAAATTTTGAATGTTATCAAAATGTTTTGATATAAAATTTGCAGTGTACAGATGTTTCTTTTCAAGAGATACTTAAAATGAGATTCCTATTAATAAGTAATGAGCATCAGAAGTAGAATGGGAATTTATTAGATAAGACATGATTATAAGGAGTCAATACACTTGTTCTAGGTAATAAATTAAATATGAAATGTATTAATTTCAAATTGATATTTCCTACATCTTAGTATTTTTAAAATGATTTTCTGAACTTTTGAATATTAGTTCTTTTGAGTATCTCAATATTGAATTTGTTCACTCAACAGTTCAATACATCCATTTTTTTACATTTTGATTTTTTTGTTTTGTTTTGTAAGATTTTTTATTATGTATACAGTGTTCTATCTGCATGTATATCTGCAGACCAGAAGAGGGCACCAGATCTCATTACAGATGGTTGTGAGCCACCATGAAGTTTCTGATAATTGAACTCAGGACCTCTGGAAGACCAGCTAGTGTTTTTAACCACTGGGCCATCTCTCCAGCCCCTACACTTTTGATATTTTCATATGTTCTATTTGCCGTATACTTACTCTGCAGTCTGCTGCCATCATGTATGTCCCTTGTATATCTATCATCTTGTATTTAAACCTGAGATTTTTCCAAAAACAATTTTTGAGACTGAGTATTGAAATGTTGCCTAGACTGGGACTTTACTCTTTAACCATGGCTGTGCTGGAACTTGTGAGCCTCCTGCTTCAGCCTCCTGAATGCTGAGAATTCAGATCTATAAGGCTATGTCATGCTGAGACACATAAACTCATTATAATGCTCCCTATCACAAAAGTGGCTTCTATGTCTGATTCAGGTCATCATCTCCCCTGAATCTTTGCTTCATAGATGGTATATTTTAGGCATTTGATGGGCTTTCTGTGAATGCTGCCAATTTTCTTCTCATTTTTTTCCTGTGACTTGATGTGAATAGAAGTGAGTAAAGTTATGATCTCCTTAATATTTGGAAGTGCTTGGTTGTGACATGTCATATTCAGTTTTCTGAGACTTTGTAAAATCACAATTGTTTAATCATTATGTCTGGTTACAAAACTGCAGGAATGTTCTTTTTAAAAAATCATTTCTCTGGAGCATGTAATCTAATTATTCTAGGTATTTGCCTACCTCTTTCAGAGTGTGAGAAAGCTGTCAAGGCCTGTCAAGAAATTTAATGGCCCGCTGCTAAAAAATAGTTCCCCTAAGACTCAGAGCTGACTGCTTCCCTAAGATGTGTGGAAGGCCAAGGCCTGTCTTAACAGTAGAGCAAAAATGACTACTGTTATCTTCAATTATACTTCCCTTGGTTCAGGTCATCCTTACTGCAATTTTCCTGAACATTTTTTGAGGAAAAAAATCACTTACCTGAAGTCTGACTGTCCCCTTTAGTTTTTTACTTTTACTTCAGTTGTTTTTCTTTTCATCAATTTAAATAAAATTTTAGTTAATATTTTTTAATTGAAAAATCATTTTCATTTAAAAAATTAGGTCTCTCCATAAGATCAGGTTGCCTTATTCTATCTATTTTTACAGAGATTCCACAACTCTGTTCATGAAATAATAACATTAACTTGTGATTATTGAGTGGGCAATTTGTTGAGTATTTGTTATATTTAATTAAGATTACTTTTTCATTAACTAGTCACATAACTAATGTTAACTGAGCCAAAATATTTTTGAAGCTTTCACACCTTATTTAAGCTCACTTTAGTATTAAGATTATCTGATAGCCACATATACATTTTATATATTTATGGAACTCATATTCCACATCTATAAGAGTCATTCATCCCATACACAGAGATCTACTCATATAGTCATGGTAATGTCACAGCTTCATTATGTTCCATACTGGCCATAAGGTGGACCAGACTGATCTCTTGAAAAAACGTAACTATGCTGAACATTATTAAGAATGTTAATTTCATTTTATTTCTCTGCTGTATATACTCCTTGACCTTTAATAATTCAAATGTTGGGACCATTCACTTAACCAGTGATCAGCAGTTATCATATCTATCATGTTATGGCTGATGACCTCAAATGGAAAATCAGTTCCTTTGCTAAACATTCGGCTGCCCACAGGGCTGCCTGGCTCTTTTGGAAACCGAAATTATTCTGAGAACCTACAGCAACTCCAGGAGACTACCAAAACTGTGTAGTGGTTCACAGAATACAGGCTGCAGGGATCCTTGCTCCAGTCATGACAGCTCTGTGCCAACCGCACTGGCCTTAGAAACCATCACTCTAAGAAAAGCCTCAGACAATCCCAAATGATTCCTCTAATTTCAACCAAAGAGAGAGAACTTTCCTACATAGCTCAGCAGAAAGCTTGTTGGTGGTCCATGTGTAAGACCTGTGATTGGTGGAGCTGGAAACTGGGCGGTGATTCATGAAAATACAGTGTCGCATTTTCAGGCTTAGCTTTCAAGTCAGTTAAGACACATCCTCCTTTGCTAAAATAAAAGGCTCCTTCCAAATAGTCTTTTCTTGTCTATGTGTAATGTGTGTCCTGGGTAGAGTTACCTGAACTGGTGAAACAGAAAGGTTATGAGGGCAGCAACAAGAGCAGCATTAGCAATTGTGGCAAGAACATGGCTGAAGACAGAAATGTGAGAAACAGAGGCAGTAGAGATGCAAGAAAGGGGAAGCATAGAGAAAGTATGATACCGTAAAGAGCCAAGATCAAAGAGACTCCAGTCACTGAAAGATTTGCCTAGGGATGAGCGTCCTGACACCCAAAGGCTCAACAACTGTTACTATTAGAAAATAGGTTGCGGTTGTTTTTCTCATTGCTGTAACAAAACACCCAACAAAAGCAACTTCAGAAAGTGTATTTTGACTCATAGTTTAATAGCGATAAAAATCAATAGTATTTGAAGCATAAGACAGTTGGTCCAATGTTATCCACAGTCAGGAAGCAAAGAGAAGCAAATGCTAGTGTGTTACTACAATACATTTTCTTTGTATTCTGTATACTCCACCATAGGGCATGGTGCAACTCACATTCATGGTGGGACTCTTTCCTAAGTTAACCTCTCTAGAAACATCCTTACAGACTACATTAGTTCCTTTTCTTGTTCTATGACAGAATACCTTACAAAAGCAACTCACTATGTGAGGATATATTTATCATAGGACAGTAGGATAAGTGTAATTACAGGAGTATGCAGAAAGCTGCTCACAATTGCATCTGTAGTCAGGGAGTGATGAATGCTAGTACTCAGTTGACTTTACCCTTTTCATTTATCAATCTCCAGCCCATGGATGTTGCCACCCATTCTCATGGTGGATCGTCCTATTTCAACACATTCTAGATGTCCAAACATACATGCCCAGCATTTTGTCTCCTATATGATTCCAAATTCAGTCAAGCTGAAAGTCAAGGTTAACTATTAAAGTGGAAACACCAGCTAGCACTGCTACTGCTGCTATCTGCTTCTAAATGCTGACACACCATCTGGTCAATGCCTGGTCATGGTAATCAAAGCTCAAGGCAAAAAACCTTCAACTTGAGTACTTACAGACCCACAACCAGACATTATGCAGTGGGAGAAAGGCCTAGAAACACATAGCTCTAAACGGAATGTCACCATCAAATCCCTCCCCTCAGAGCTCAGTGACATACGATTACTCAACAGTTGAAGAGGAGGCAGACCAAGTGTACGAGCCAGAGGGGACAGTGAACATCAGGAGAACAAGTTGAGCTCATACAAATTCACAGATACTAGAGGAGCAAGGGCAGAGTTCACACAGGTCTGCATAAGGTCTTCTACATATATATTATAGCTTAGAATTTTTATGGAACTCCTAAGGGTGTGAATGAGTGGAGCTCTGTTTCTTGTGCCTGCTCTTGGGGCTCTTTTCCTTGAGGTGAGTTGCCTTGTCCAGCCTTAATATAATGGTTTTTGTTTTATCTCACTTTATTTTGTCCTATTTATTTGTTATTCCCCTAGAAGCCTGTTCTTTTCTTATGAGAAACAGAAAAGAATTGGGTCCAGAGCGAAGGGGAGGTGGGGAGGAACTGGGAGGAATATAACTAGAAACTCTAATCAAGATATATTGTATGAGAAAAAATCTACGTTGAATAAATGAAAGTTTTTTTTCAAAAAGGAAAAAGCTTTTATTCTCAACACAGAGATATGATCTCCGAGTCTGTCAAGCTGATCCAGAGATCACTGAAGTGTTAGAGCCCAGAACTATCACTATCTACTTGAAGTTTCTGAGTAGTGTGTGAGACACCCACCCCCAAGCTGGGGGATTCATAATGCCTTGTCTTACAAGGCAGCCAGTCTATTTCCTGAAGTAGACATGGACATGAACTAATGAAGCCCTGTTGATTAGATTGTTTTGAAAAGTGAGCTATGAGTATCATTTACATTCAAATCTGCACGAATATGTAGGAGGATACTACTGTCATCATTCACAGGAGCTTTTAAATATCAAAGAAAATTAAACTACAAGGGAAGTTAAAACATGAATCAGATCCACACACATACATGAAAGGTTTACTGAGTTTTTACTGACTTTGATGTCATTCTTCATAAGGAGATAACCATTCTATTTGGTCATGTTAGGAGTGTATGAAATCCATAAGAATCCATTAGGTTTTTGTTGGCTTGTTTGGTTTTGTTGTTATTGTTCTGTCCTAACAGAAGGAATATGATGA